CTCAGACTACTCTTTCCTACCCAGACTTTGCACTCAAGCCCTGGCCAGTATTTTTTTCTTTTTCTTTCCTTTTTTTTTGTTTTTTTGTTTTCAGTACGCGGGCCTCTCACTGCTGTGGCCTCTCCCGTTGCGGAGCACAGGCTCCGGACGCGCGGGCCCAGCTGCCCCGTGGCACGTGGGATCCTCCCGGACCGGAGCACGAACCCGTGTCCCTTGCATCAGCAGATGGACTCTCAACCACTGCGCCACCAGGGAAGCCCTTCTTTTCTTTTTTTTAACTGCCTTCAGGAGTTGCCAGCTAAAAACGTTCATGTAAAAGAACTCCCCTCTCCTTTCATTAACAGAGTTCCCCTTCTAACTTCCTTATTTCTGACCACGTAGCACAATTCTCTCAAGCTAATGAATTGGAAGGAGTTGGAGCCGAATAGTCTCCAAACCTCCCAATGCACTTGGACTCCCTCCTCTCCATCCTCCTCTGCCCTCAGTCCTTTTCGTGAAGTACTTGACGCCCCTCTTCCTTTTAGCATCCCTTGCCCAAAGAATCACCTCCTGCCTGCCTCCCTGGCTTTGTTTTGCTTATTTCTAGTGCGCTCAATCTTCCTAAGACAAGTTTATTCTGTCAACCTCCCACTAAAAAACTTATAGTGAATCCCTGTTTGCCATTGGATAGCCTGTACAAGTCCCTGCTGGCATCCCACAGCCTCTAATTACAGTACACCCCCAGGATGGGATAAATAGCCACTGAAATAATCCTTAAGAGAACTTCCAATGATGTAGGAAAATGTTAAAAATAATGTTAGGGCTTCCCTGGTGGCGCAGTGGTTGAGAGTCCGCCTGCCGATGCAGGGGACATGGGTTCGTGACCCGGTCCAGGAGGATCCCACATGCCGCGGAGCGGCTAGGCCCGTGAGCTATGGCCGCTGAGCCTGTGCGTCTGGAGCCTGTGCTTCGCAACGGGAGAGGCCCTGTACCGCAAAAAAAAAAAAAAAGTTAAATGATACAGAATTATATAAACAGTTTGAGCCCAGGTATTCTTTTTTAAAAGTGTACAGTTAGAATAAAAGAGAGTCCTATATGAAGGACATAGACCAAAGTGTGGAGAGTCATTGCCATTGGGTGGGAAGCCTGATATATAATGAACACTAAACACATGTTAGCAATTAATATTATGTTGCTTTATCATCATTTTCTCTCCTTTTTCTACAATGAACATGTTATTTTACACCAAAAAAAGTTACTGGGCTTTCCTGGTGGCGCAGTGGTTAAGAATCCACCTGCCAATGCAGGGGACACAGGTTCAATCCCTGGTCCGGGAAGATTCCACATGCCGCGGAGCAACTAAGCCCATGTGTCACAACTACTGAGCCTGCGCTCTAGAGCCCATGAGCCACAACTACTGAAGCCCATGCACCTAGAGCCCACGCTCCGTAACAAGAGAAGCCACCGCAATGGGAAGCCCGTGCACCGCAACGAAGAGTAGTCCCTGCTCACTGCAAATAGAGAAAGCCCACGCACAGCAATGACACAACAGAGCAAAAAATAAATTTTACAAAGTTACTGAAATTAAAAAATATATTTGTCGTATATTTAGAAAAAAAGAAGAAATGCACCAACATGTCAATGACTACCTCTGAATGGCAGAATTATGAATAGTTTGTTCTCATTCATTCCTTCATTCCATGAGGTTCTTTTCGAACCCACTGTGGGGTAGGCACTGTGGAAAGTGCTGAGTGCACGTGAACAAAACAGGCCTCATCTCTTTCGCCACCTCACTCTACCCTACATTAACCTCCCTTCTCTAAACTCATTGTCTGTTTCTCTCACTTTGAGAACGTTATGTGTTTCCTGTGTGCATATCATATACTTCAAGCAGCTGGGAACAGGGAGGGTCTCATACAAATTCTGGCTCTTACTGCCCCAGTCCAGTGGCATCCCACTTAGGAGGAGCTTATTAACTCTTTGTGGAATGGATAAATGAATGGTGAGGCATGATTTGCCAAATGATAAAGAGACTGACAAGCAGGCAGCCCCACCTTCCCTGATGTCACAAGCACTTGTCCAAATGGCCAAGCCCTGGGTTCAGCCAAATCCTCAGTTACTTCTCCTCGAAGACTGGCTCCACTGGCCCAAAGCCTCCTCTTGAATAGAAGTTGGGGCCTGAGACCACCGAGGTCCACTCAGCTCCCTGGGGTTAACGCTAGAGTGTGTGTTTTCCTTTGATGATGAGGATGATCATTATGAACAATAGCAACTTTACAAAAAGAGGACCCAATAAACAAGCATTCAATTAATAATCACATCCAAATTCTCTTCTTGGCATTGCTTATATAAATTCGCATTTTACATAGTTTTAATCAGGGATGATATTTACATTGTTTAACAACTGGTATGGCTGCAGAGAGATGCTAGTCCTTGTGCTGGAGCAGCTTTTTAGAAGATCTTTAGTGTGCTTGATATTAACCCTTTAGTGGCTGGCTCCTGGAGAAGAGTGGTGGGGAGGGGCACACTCAGGGAAGTGGATTTTTTTTTTGGCCACATCGTTGTGGCACATGGGCTCTAGAGCATGTGAACTTAGCTGCGACATGCATGTGGGATCTTCGTTCCCCGACCAGGGATCGAACCTGCGCCTCCTGCATTGGAAGGCAGATTCTTAACCACTGGACCACCAGGGAAGTCCTGGAAGTGGATATTTTAACAACTGGTGTGGCCACATCGGTGTGTACCTGC